ACATATATACAGATATATATATATAACGCTACTGAAGAAAGATAAAGTGAGTTAAGTTTGAATTAGACTTAGTCCTCCTTCTCACTGTATTTCCAGGGAAGACTCATAACCAGAAGGAACTCCGCTTAAGGAGTGGAACAAAACGGAGAAAAAATTATTGAATTTTACCATGTCACCAATACGGGAATTGTAAAATTTGACTTAGTTTATAACACAAAACATTTCAGTGTACCAAGATATCAAAAAATGATCTCAAGGCAAAACCAACCCCTGCCACATCGATCAGTCCTTGAGGATCCATATTCACACAACAGTAAAGTACCACATCTGTGCCTTTGTATACTGCATCTGACGGGTACGCTATACCCAGTACGGCCAATTCTCCTAAAAATATAGGATCCTATTTAGCAGTTTCAACTTTAAAGACAACAAGCACAAAATGACCTGCTTTGACTTCAGTCTGAGCTCTAACAAGCGAGCTCTGATGCTTTAATTGGGCAAAAAAGTTATGCACTGGCGCCATAATCACATTAGGATTGTAGAGAGACACATTTCATTTGTGTTATTAAACAAGAATGGAAAAATTCCGATAGTAAGGATTCTTTCCCAGTACCATTCAGCACTAATTCTAGCGGACTTGGTAATGTACGGGCAAAATTAAGGGTTGCGAATTCTCAACAGTAAGAGGGCGACCTCTCTGACTAATCTATTCATTATAATCAGGCAAACATAAGTCACTCCTCCCACTCAGTAATTTCCTCCTTAGCACCTTCTGTGTTTGGCTTCTCTCAAAAGCAGTTCTCTTTAGCAAGAAAGGAATGCGATCGTTTCGGGAGAAAAAGCGAGTATAATCATCTCTCTTGCCTCTCGTCCCCGTCATTCAAAGACCCGGAATCTGTTCTTTTTTCTCACAGTCTCAAGGTGACTGCAGTTGTCATCCGTAAACATCGAAATCAGATGTGGAAAGCCCGGAGTCGGAAATCTGCACGGACACTGCTTTTAAGGAAGAGTATCATGCAATCAGCATAG